AAAAAAAAAAAAACTTGATTCTGCCACTTAGGTAGATGTTCACACTTAATTATTACATCAGTGCATTTGCTTCAGGTCATATGTTACTTGATAATAAAACCTGAAAACCTGTTCAGCAGAAACTGGTGTGTTCAACATGGAAAATGATCTGTTGATCAAGCAAAACAATGCTAACCTTTTATATTTAATGTTTTTTGTTGAAAAGACATAGATATCAAGTAGCAATATTTCAGTCAATTTATATAATAGCAGCAGGTAGCTCGCGTTTACTGTTTGGTATTAGTGACTCGGTATTGGTGTACTGGGCTTTGTGCAGTATGTAAACCAGGCTTTGAAACAAAAACCTTTTTTTTTGTACTAAGAACATCTGCAAAATGATGTGGAATGGGTTTAAATATTTAAATGCTTTAAGCAGAGTTGAGAGTACTATGCTCTTATTGGTAGCTGAAATAATAAAATTTGCCAAAATATTAAATAAGTGAACACATGGATCAGGGATGTGTAGAAATTTGTGAATGACATGTGTTTCAATTAGGAAATCTGTGTGGCTTGCTGAAGATTCTGTGTGAGGTTGCCATTTATATACCTCCATAAAAGCTTTTCTTTTCTTTTCTTTTTTCATCTTTGAGGTCTCACATTAATATGAAGATTGGCTTTATCATCTTCTGAAGATGACTTCATTATTTATTTATTTGGTCATTTTAAATGATACATTTCTTAATGATAGTGATAGTTGGAAACATGAGAATGATATCTTAATATATGTGTGTGTGTGTGTGTGTGTGTGAGTGTGTGTGTGTGTGTGTGTGTGTGTGTGTGTGTGTGTGTGTGTGTGTGTGTGTGTGAGTGTGTGTGTTTAAAAATCAAATGGCCAAACATTACTTACTTTGACAGGCTTGAACTAGACTGACTTTAACTTCCACATGAATTAATCTTGCAGATATCCGTGGACTACAAGTCTTTCTGGACCAGACATCAAGACAGGGTTTGGATGTGTCTCTGCAACGAGTGGATAGGAACATCAGTGGCGTGTTTTCCAGTTTGTTCACCTCCATGCGCACAGAGGAGCTCAACCGCTACAGGGACACTCTCAGAAGGGCTATCCTGCTCCTGAGCCCACATGGAGCACAGGTCTTCATCCATCAGGTATGTGCTGTCATTAGCGTAAACTTTAGGACATAGTGGTAAATGGGGTGAGATGAGCCAGTGGATAGGTTGAGCCACCTCTGGTAACTACTTGTCATGTCAGTAGGGGTGTAAAGATTCACAAGTTTTGTCTGTATACATTTTAAAACATGGATTTTTTTTATCATGAATTTGCTTCGGTCAGTAATCAACTTAAAATGCTAAACATCTAATGAATCATGATTTAGCAAAGTATCGATAAAAGTATCAATCTAAATATTGAATATACTGTATATACTATATATATAACATAAAATTACTTACATTATTTTATTAATGACTGTTTACTTGTTTACATCAATATTTGCTTGGGAACCTTTTTACTTAGATTAGGCTAGTATTAGCTTTTGCTGTGGTATCAAAATTGGTACAGAGAATTGTGAAATTCACTGGCATCTAAAGTTACAACTAGGGGTGCTCCGATTTTTGAGGCCGATCACCGATCGCTGATCACAGAAAGCAGTATCTGCCGATACCGATCACCGATATCGATCTTTTTAAGCCTTCTTTTTATCATTTATAACTATTTATAGTGATACTCCAATCAGGATTTTAGACATTTATTCAGGGCCTGTATTTCATTTTTGAAAATGGAGGGAATTCCCCTCTTAGGTGACTCTTGTGAGAGGGGAAGCAGCACGGACTGTGCTTTCACACAGGAGTCCGCTACTGATCCGTGGCTGTTTACCACAAACACAACATTTATCCATTATTTTGATTTCAAATCCAAACATTGTCACTGAAAATGCTTTTTCAGCATTTCAATAATTTTTTTTTACAAAGTACAGTAATACAATCTTTCACAGACATGTCTAAACACATAAATATAAGCAACACATTATTCAATGTATTTTACTTTTGCATTTACTTATATATTAAGTTGCTCAAGCAAGTGGCAAAACATTTAAACTACTTTTCTTACGTTGTCACAAACTTACCATTGACAGAAACAGTCAGCTCTACTGCCTTTCCTTTTGCATTTAAATCTTTATTTCAAGCAATCCTGCGGTTCATAAAGAACTTTGTTTTGCTACCTCCACGAGTGCCATCTATGATTGCCTTGTTTATCTAAAAGTGCTCTTTACCTTTAAACCTAGCCAAAAAGCCGTATGTGTTGACTGTGAAACACAGTAGACTTTAATAATATGCATTTATGGTGTAATTACTACATTTTCGTGTCAATCCATGTTCATATTTATTGCAAGCAATGTGCTGTTACTTTAATTCTTCGCTTGCAGCGCAGCAAACATAGACTCGGTGCGGAAACGATCTCTGCATGAGCAGAGCATGAGCGCACAGTCTCCAGGAGAGCGCGCAAGCGCTGAATGGTTTAAACACTGGCAAGAATTAAAAAGAAATGCCATTTATAAACTTTAGTGATTATGTGACACTGCCTCGATTGTGCAAGTGACAATTCCTGTATCAACTGTGCAGGATGCAGCTCGCTTATAGACAGATGCAATGTGGTGATTTGAAGACATTTGCGTATTTGGAGAGAGAGTGCACGCAGTGATTCACTCACGCTGTTTGTACGCCTCACACAAGGTTTTCAAATTACTTTATAAGTTATTTAATTAAGAAATAGGCATCATTATAATTATTTCACCCACGCCGGACAGAGACTGAGATGGTGCCGCTGCATGTCGTGCCAAACCTCTCACGGCAGCGTCATCAGCTTGAGATCGTTTTTTTTGAGATTGGCCTTTTTAGAGACCGCCGATCAATCATCCCAAAGCGATTATCCGCCGATAGTGATCGGTAGCAGATCAATCGGAGCACCCCTAGTTACAACCTTGCCATAACAGTCGTATTTCCAGCAAAAAGAACTGTATTGTAATAATATAATTATCAAAATATATGTTGTATATCTCACTCCTACTATGAATGTACTTAAATACATTAAAGGTGCAATAGGTGATTGTCTTCAGAAATTTTTTTTGTTATGCTGGTTGAAATTCTCTTCACATCCTGATAGCAATCATTAAGTTAAGTGCTCTACATTTATTTATATATTCAGTGGACGGCATAGGACCAAGAAATGTTCGTCCAATCAAAATGTTCAGACATTATGATAGGCTTTCCAACCTGCCTGTCAACATATATATTTGCATACCTCTGCGCACCCTGTTCGCGCAGAGAGGATATGTCATCAGCGTGTTCACGTACACTGTGCAGACAGAGCGAGAATGG